AATAACGGCTGTGCTCTCATCTCCAGCAGATCCACGTCAGGCGGCAACAGGAAGAGGGAGCATGGTAAAATCATCATGCATTTACTGTGGTCAAAATAACAGAGCTATTGTGACCTCTGAATTTTGGTGAAACTATTGTGGATCTAAAATTCACCTTTCTAAAGAAGTTAGCCTAAAATCTAGTCACCAAAATGGCAGACGAGTGAGTAGTGTTCCTGGTGACAGCAGTAGTGCTAATGAACCTATGAAAGTTCTGCAATGAAAATCCAAATGGGTATTCCACTGTTTCTAGTTATCTAAACTGCTGCCCCTGTAGTAGCTTAGTTGAGTGGCATATGGGCTTTTAATAGTAAATACTTCTTAAAACGTATATACTTTTTTCTTTTGGCAGAGAGGGCATCTCCCCTGCCAACAGTGGTCAGTGCTCTTCTTGGGGACCACCACCACTAATCTCTTTTTGGAATTGTTCTCTAAAAGCTTAAGAACTGAAGTCTGTTTTATCTGCTACAATCAGGATTCACCACATATGCTGTCAGGCGATTAATTCTATGTGAGAAAAGGGAAATAACACCCTTACAGAGAGGAAGATGCAGCACAGTTACTGTAAGTCCAAATAGCAGCTCAGTAGTATCTGGTCCCACCATTGTGCTACACAAACTGGTGGAAGCTCTGCAACAGCAAAGTGCTGCTCATAACACCAATGGCCAGCACATGTCCAGTACAGAGCTGTGCCCAGAAAAAGGGAGAAGGAACCAAAACCAGGGATCTAGACCAACACCAGCTGCACAAGTCAGATGTTTCTGAGTGCCTTTCATACTGCCTGTCTCTCATTTAAGTGACAAAAGAGTTTATGAATTGTAATTCAAGAACTTACCACTGAAAGATACTGAAGTAGTTCATATAATTACAAAAATGAACAAACTTTCTGGGGTCTGAATGGATTTGTACTTGATGATACTCCCGTCAGTAGGGGATCATGTTGTGCATTCTGCAGGCAGAATTGCTTCAAGTCAGCTGCTGCTTGAGAAACCTAGTTACAATAAAAGCTGCATTAGAATTCACTGAACACTCTTTACCGAGGATGTGGTTTTTACATTGCAAAGTATAAAGAATACTACTAAATTATTCTGCAGTATAGTTTATGTAGATTTTATGCAATAATTTCATTGTAGTTCTTTTGTTTCAAAGACAAAGGAAGATAAACAATGTAAGAATGAGAACAGATTTGGAAGTTTAAATTTCCATGTTAAACTTTTAAGTATGAAGGGTGACACATGAGCAAGAGCTTGGATATTACTTAAATATATGAAGATCCTTGTTCTAGCATAAACAGTTCAAAAATACTGTCTGTGATTTAACATGTTCTACTCAACTGAACTCGCATTTCAGGCTCCCTTGGAAAGCCATCCTTATGATGAGATAATGGGGTTCTGAGCACCCTTACAAGGGGTTTTTGTCATGCTGTACCGTGCTAAAAACTGATCAGTGAAACTTCTTTGTCTTGCTTTTCTTTGCTGTAACTCTGAACTTATACAACAGAACGATCAAAGTTTCAAAAAGTTGCATCTTCCACTGACACTCGGTGTGTGCAGTTTGCCCGGTTTCTGTGCCGTGCCAGGCGCGGTCTCGCCCCGGCGCGGCACAAGTTCACTGCACTCCGTGTGCCTGGCAGCGACATCTCCATCTTGCCGTGCCGGGGCCAGCCCAGCCTGTTGTGTGCCTCGCCTCGGGCGGCCGCTCCGCAGGGCCCGCAGGAAGGGCGCTGCTCGCTCCGAGGGCACGGGCGGGCAGCGCGGCCGCGTCCATCGCCCGGGGCAGCGCTCCGGCCGGGGAGCGGGCCCGAGGGGCGGCGGGGAGAGAGCGGCCGAGCTCCGGCCAGGGCTGGCGGCGGAGCGGACGCGGCTGCGCTGCCGATCCGGGCTCGCCTCGGCCGGGGAACCCCGACGGAGCCCCGGGAGAAGCCCGGGCACCGCGCCCAGCGGGGTCCGCGGGGCGGGGCAGGTGGGAGCCGGTGGCCCCGGCCCGGCCCCGGCGCGGCGGGCGCGGCCCCGGGGCGGTGAAATGGCGGCGCGTCCGCCCCGTCCCGTCGCGGCTCCGCGCTCACCTTCACGCGGGTCACACTCGCCTCCAGGCGCAGCTGCTGCACCACCTTCTTCATGGCCGCCACGTTGGAGGAGCCCGACATGGCGGGGTCGGCGGTGGGCTCGGCTCGGCTCGGCACTCCGGCACTCCCAGAACAACTTCCCGGCGCGGCCACAAGTGCCCGGACCGCGGCGCCTGCGCAGCCGGGGCCGCTCCGTGCGCCCGGGACGGGACCCGCCCGCGGGCGCAGAAACAACCCCCGCCCTCACGGCCTGAGGGTGGCACTGGCCGGGGAGGCGGCTTTCACACCAAGGTGGCGAATGTTGGTGATAATATCCACTGGGTTCCAAGTTTGGAGGTTATGTTGAGATGCAATGAATGAAGTTCCTAACTTAGTTCGTGCTGGCAGTTTGAGTGCTGCTGTAGCCTGGAGGATCAGTTTGCTAGTCCCCGCTCATTGCAGAAAGTGCCCTGGGGCGGCAGGGAAGTGGGTGACATGCGAAGGGCAGCATCTCTCCTGCCGGCTGTGCCTGGGAATGACGGGGCAGCGATGGGTGCCACGCTCGGGCCTTTGGCGGCAGCTCGCCAGTAAAGACACGGGCCCTGTTAAGTAGGTATTTCCCACTGACATCAAGAAATCTCTCTCTCAAGAGTGAGATTTGGAAGGTCCGGTCACTCGTACTCAAGAGCAGGTGAATTAGAAGTAGCTGGGGTAGAGGCAGGAGGAGTAGGGAGATCTGTTGAGAGCAGAACAGCACCTGAGTTCAGCAGGTGAAAATCCAGAGCAGGTTTGTAACCTCAGAGGGGCTGGGAGAGCCTTCACAGCAAGAGCACCAAGGAAACTCCTAACAAAAAGAGGAAGATGGAAACAAGGTTTTTAGCAGGGCCTGTTGGAATAGGACTGGGGGAATGGTTTTAACCTAAGAGAGAGTTGCTTAGAGATGAAGTTTTTTTTATACTAAAGATGGTAAAAACCAGGAGCAGATTAACCAGAGAGGTGGGAGATGCCCCACCCCTGGAAACATTCAAGGTCAGATTGGACTCAGGGGTCTGTCAACCGGGCCAGGTGGGAGGTGTCCCTGCTCACTGCAGGGCTTGGACTAGCTGACCTTCAAAGGTCCCTTCCAACCCAAACCGGTCCATGATTCTATCACAATGTTGGGACAGAACCACCGTTATAATTTATGGAAGTATTTTTCTGACATGGTTACCCAGTGCAGTCACGTTTCCTCAGAACACTGCATTTGGCTGACAAAATGTGTTTGCTGCAGTTCACAATCATTCACTTTATCAGATCCAGGTCCTGCAAGAATCGCGTTTTGTGGGGGTTTAGGTCTGTGTCTTTAGGAAAACAGTGGAATTGTGTAGAAAATTGTATACTATCAAAATATTTTTATGAAAGGGAGAAAACGTTAAGAGGAAATGCTCTATGGCAGGTCTCTTAGAGGTGCATGGCTATGATTTAGCAATTCCCCCAGTTACTTAGGTGATAGTCACTTGTGTGGAAGGTGTGGTTGATTCTGTTTGCAGTTAGCTGGAAGCTTTCTGCCTCAACATAGACACAACTTCTGTTTTTGTAAGTGGAATGAAGATCAGTAATTGAAAAAAGGATATTTATGGAGGAACTTCTGTCATAACAGATTATCATGAAACTCATTCTTAAAGAATGCTTCAATCAAGAAGAAAATTAGAAAGCCCACCTGGCATTTGCTGTGGTCACATAGAGGGACCAACATGTCATTGAGTCAAATGAGACCTCAAACTTCACAGGTGAGAGTTTTTGTACTTTTCCACACAGATTTTTTAGATTTCACAAACAAAAAATAAGAATACATTAAAATAAGAATACCTGAGAGGGAAGAAAGGTGTGCTTTTAAAATAGTATATATATATATATATATATAAAGAATTATTCTATAGTTCATATTAAGTAACTCAACACTTACAGAAATATTTAATATAGCTAATTTGCATGGCTTTTAGTTAAAGGGAAATGTGCCATCCTTGTCAATACTATCTGACTTTTACTAAAAATATCAAGAGCTGGAAATTAGCAGTGCAACAACTACCACGGGTCCGAACACAGCCCAAGTGAACCTTGCTCAGCTTAGTTCTTCTTTTTGCAGACATTAGCAGGAACATTTTTTGTGTTTCCAAGGTAGCTAATATTATTAAAACCAGTCAGGAATATTTTTAAATTTTTTTTTCTTGATAACACAATAAAGTTGTGGTGCTATTTGAATCAAACTTTCAGGGCTTTGCATTTTTAATGAGATAAACAAAGGTAGGATTTCAGCAGAGGGATTCTTGTAGTCATGACACTCTCCAGAGTATCAGCTGGTTTTGGTGAAATCTCTCCATTGCTGTCACAGTGATACACAGCAGTAGCACAGGCTCTCTGTTATCTCACTTCCATTGGGGAGCTTGTTCTAATGCGACTTATTTTGTTGCTGTCAGCTGGCACTCAGTCACAAATTACTCTGCTGTCACTGTTCTCACAATCTGGTCATCTCTGTGAGACAGCCTCCCTGTTCTAGTACCTGTGCTAATACCAAAGGAACCATTCCTGCTACACAAATTGGAAGTCCAAAAGTAAACAAAACCAAGTGTGTAGGAAGAGGATGATAATACATTTACATCTGTTCTTTTTTCTAGCTGTTGGAACTTCATGTTTTTTATGTCCCAGCAGAAGTGTGGAACTTCAAGCTGAATACAGTTTCTGTAGCTCTTACTAGCAAATTCATCTCAGCTGGATTGTCTCACAATCTGTTCATTGCTTGAGAGGGCCTCCCTGTTCTAGTCCCTGTGCTAATACCAAAGGAACCACTCCTGCTACAAAAATTGAAGTCCACCTAAACAAAACAAAGTGTTTAAGAAGAGGATGATAATACATTTACATCTGTTCTTTTTTCTAGCTGTTGGAACTTCATGTTTTTTATGTCCCAGCAGAAGTGTGGAACTTCAAGCTGAATACAGTTCCTGTAGCTCTTACTAGCAAATTCATCTCAGCTGGATTTATAAGGTGAGTGTAGTTTTAGGTTTCATGTACATAGTAGGTCCTTCACGCTATCCTTCAGTCCAACTTTTAGTCCAACTGTTGCTCTTGAGAGCACAATTACATCTGCAGCAGAAATTTGTTGTCTAATTAAATTTCTGGGGTGCAAGTGGTGACCATAACTAGCATTATGTTAATTTGTATTGTATCAGACTTAGCTCCCTTGCAGCCCATGGTGTAGACACTGAGAAGCAGTTCCAGAGTGGTGCTAGTATTTCTGTAGAATGATTTACATTGTAAATCATTTCTCCCTCCTTGAGCCTGATTATCAAAAGCTGGAATTCTTCTGGGCAATAGGCCAGCTTCAAGAGAGTGGCTTGATGAAGACAGGATAGCCTGTCAGTTCCCAGGATCAGGGGGATGATGATCTGAGCTCTCTCATTCCAGAGGAAGAGCTGAAGCCTTGTTTCTCAAGGGGAAGCATTATAGCCCATGAACCAGCAGCATTTCCTCTTTCTTCTTCAAAGAAGAAAGTGAAAGGCTATAAGAACACCATGTACAGTGTGTGCTCTCAGGTAGCTGTTTAAAGGACTTAGTGAAAGAATACCCTGGTTCCCAGTCCTAGGCTCAAACCTGGCACAAGGAGTTGTATTTTTCATCTGTCATAACTTTGAAAGTTTTTTTAATATTTCTAAAACACATTGCTCACAAAATCTAGTATCTAGTGTGAGGAGAAGTTGGATAAAAATCAAATAATGTAAATATGTGTATTGAAACTGAGCTTTTACATACACCTTGTCTACATCTGTGCAAAACCTGTCCATTCAGCTAAAACTGCAGGGAATAGAGGTTTTAATTAGTTTAAATTGAGTATTGTATTATTCACTTTAGACAATATACAGTGTAGTTGAAAAGACTGACAGCAATCAGGTAGGAGCATGTAGGGCAGAATATATTCATTCTCACAGCTGCTTTTGTTGAAAGGCTGCTCAAAACCAGAGAAAATAAGTGCATATACCCATTTTCTTTGCTGTTCTAGTCTCTAGCAGAGGTACAGAATACATGTCTGAAGTGGTAACTTCATTTCACAGCATGGACATCTGCCACTGCCCTATATTTTCTAGTATAAATTTATTTCACTGAGGCATCAAATTAAATTATGATCCTCACTGATTTCAGTGGGTTTATATCTGCCTGGATATTGTTGCTTGCCAATGACTCTTAGATAATTGCTAATTAATTCTTCTATGGGTACTATGCAGTGTTGCAGTACATTAGCATTAACATAACTAGTAGCTGGCCAGTGAATCACTGTCTTCAAAAATGAAAAATATTTTTTTAAACTTCTTTTATTGTAATCCAGGAGAGGGAATGGCAGTCTTGCTGGTACTCCTGTGGCTTGGACGCTGTTGATAGCTCTGTTGTTCAGTCAGCTTGACAATCCTGGTGTTGTCTGAGTCAGCTTTCCAAAGAATTCCTAGGTCAAAGTACAGGCCATTTCCATTAGCTGGGAAATTAGAGGAAGATGTTAAGGGTGTAATTGTCTATGGCTCTGAGTTCTTGTTCCCCTAAATTTGATTTCTTAGCCTCTGTGAGCTCTTTTTTTTCATTCCTCATTCCTCACTACAGAAGCCAAACTTTTATTCTTTCTAGATGAGATGGCTGCAATGAACTCTTGTTTGCATTACATTTGAAGGGACACCCTGAAGCAAGTGACTTGTATGTGACTGTTTTCTGCCAGCCAGTGGCAGCAAGTGACAGACTAATATTATTGCATTTTCCTAGCAGCTGCACTGGCAAATAATTTTGAGATAAATTTCTGCCCTATATCTCAGGATCTGGAGATCCCCCATTATACATTGTAGAAGTGTCCACTCTGCAGGCTTTGGTCTCCTCTGCCTCGTGCCTGTGCTCCAGGGCACTTTTATGATCTTGAGGAGGGTCCTCTAAGTTCAAGGTATTTGAAAGAATACAAGGCAAGCATTGTATCCCACTGAAGTATTGTGTTTATGAGATGAAAATGGCAGTGTTTTTCTACATGCTTGAGGTGTGAACTGAAGGCCTATAGGGCTGCTTGCAAGTGTAAACAAACCTTGACAGGGTAATGTTGAAGACCTGTTCAAATGGAAGAGCTGGCAGGTTCCTGTCTGTACTGGTTGCTAAGAATGGCATGTGCTATCCCCCAAGCTGTGCCTGTGCATTGCTTGGGGAGTGAGAGCTGTCTGGGCAAAAATCATCCTACCACTTAATCAGAGTGGCTGATTAACAGTCTCAGGCCTGCATTTGTTCCCTGTTTTTTTATATGGCAGCTTAGAACAATTAGAATTGCTTATGCTGTGCTGCAGTGCTTTGGTATGCCTCTGGCACATTTGGATTTATGGTGCAGAGATGCTCTTTATTCTGTAGTAATTTTTCTACTGAGCTCATTACCTGAATATTTGCATACTTTCAAGTAGTACATTAAATGATGCAATTCATATTTCTGTCAGTATTCTCATCCTCAAATTGTGGTGGAAATGTTCACGCTGCATTGTTTGGTTTTTATTTAAAATACATTTGCATGCACACATGCACACACCCAACTGCAAATTTGTGCTGGAAAAGACAAAAGCAAAGGAATGTGCCTGCTGCTTGAAGTGGGCATTGCTGAAGGCTCCTCTGGCCCTGGGTGCTTGAAGGGAATAATGTTCAACAGTCCTGGTCCAGCCCCATGAAACTGTGTCATTTAAGTGGAAACTGTGTCACTTATATGGAAGTGCACGACTGTAGCTTCCAGTGGTGTCATTCATCTGCAGATGAGCAACAGCATTCTGAAGAAGTAAATTTCATACTTTGTCTGCTTTCATATTCTCCCTTTGTATGGGGCTGGTCCAATGAGAGTCTGGCTGGTTAATTTAGGACAGCCCTTACAGTGCAGTGTTCTGAGTGCCACACCAAGACCCTCTGGCCTTGCTGTAACTGGGTTCAGTTCTAGCACATAGTTCCCAGATTTGGTCATTCTGCCTGTGCAAGCCAGCACGTACAGACCATTATCTTCCCCCTCCTACTAACTAGCCATCATTATTTGATCTTACAGATGTATTAATGAGTGACAACATTCTAGGGTGTCTCCTCACATCACATTAAGAGTGCTGCGGGGGAGGCTTGGAGAGTACCTGGGTGGAGTGACCATTGCAGATGAATTCAGATTTTTGAAATGCATTGGGAGGAAACTAGCAGTGGTAAGTTAATTTTTTTTTCTTTAGTGCTCTTCTGTTTTATAATGTAAAGCAGAGATTTCATTCCTGCAGATGAGGTAATATCACACAAAGTAGAGATAACTTTAGGGGCACTGTTAGCATTTCTTTTAAACATGCTGCAGCATAAGCTCCTGTCAGAGAACAAAGGCAAAGCTGGACAGTTGTATTAAAAGTGCCCTTTAAAGCAACAGGTGTAATTAGTTGCCATCCAGTGAAAATATAATGGTTTTGGTAAGTCCATGGATTAAATATGATAAATCTGGTTGCATTAAAAAAAAAAAACAAACCCATAAGGCCATTACTACTGTACACAGTTGGGAATAATTCAGTTGACAAATTTTCAATGGAAGCTCAGTCAGAGTTCCTCTAATGGCTCCTGCTCTGACCTGCCCAAAAGCATTTAAGACATCATTCTCTGAATGAAAACTCCTCTGGATGTTCCACTGTTTTGTCCCATAATACAGTCTGAAATGTAAGTAATAAAACCCCTACATGTGTGAGTCATAACTATTCCTCACATCAATTCTACATATATATCTTACAAAGTTTAGCTAAAGATTGAATAAACTTCAAAATTAGTCCAACTGAAAGTTTGTTCATGTAACACACAAAGATTTAAGTAATTTATGTAAATATAGAATACTTTTTCTATGTCTCATTTCACCTCTTTCTCATGGATTTGTAAATTAACTACAAGCAGGAAATTTGGTGCCATTCTTTATTTCATTTCTAGTTGAATTATCACTAAAATTACTCTCACAGAAGACTAGAATAAATACTAAATCATATGCAAAAACTAGGTGGAAAAACATGAAAAGAAACTTAAAAGACACAATCCAAATTGGAAAGTATGCATGTTTCCAGTGAATTGAGGTCCTCTTCACTGGATGATAATAAGTAAGATGATTAATTTTCTTCTCCACATAGTTCAGAAATAAATGGAGACATTTTCCAGCCTTTATAATGTCAGCAAATGAATAAAATATTTTATGTTAATAGAGAATTAAAGATAACATGAGGATTTATAGAGCCAAATGAAAGATATAGTGTTTCTTTGAGGTATTTACTGTTGTTTGATGTTTAACTTTATAACAAAGTGTAAAGCAATAAACCAACTGCTTTATTTGTTGTTTAGGGTCATGGTAACCTCATTGAATTACATCTCCATGATCAAATATTTGTGGAGTGTTCTCTCTCCTTAGTCTTCTGTTTCACAACTCTAACAATGTAAGCAGAACTAAGAGCTGTGCCCTACTTGCAAGCAAGGGTCTTTTCAATGAAAAGATAAACTAAAATCGTGTTCATTTGCTCTTCCTTTTTTGCACATAACCTGTGTGTTTAATTAAATATAATTATTTGAATGTAGGCTCAGATTTCTTTTCCTTACATTGGAGCACATCTTTCAAATATATATTGACTATTTTAGACTTTGTTTTTAGGACAACTATTGAAATGTGAAAGTGTATGTCACAAAAAATATGAAGGAAAATGACAAATACAAGACAACATAGGATAATATTAGATTTTTTTCCATATACATTCAAGATTTTGCAATACTGTATTATGGAAGTAGAGAAAATTATGTGAGACTCAGCATTTCTGTCCAGATTCAACTTGAAGCAACTTTTGACAAAGAAAGTTGTAAATTTTCTTTTCCTGTGACTGTTGGATCGTTTGAACCACAAGAGAAAGTGCAAAGGATAAAGAACCATTCAGTATATGCATGTAATCTTGTGGGTCTGATTAAGATTTTGAAAAATAGGCAAAGTTTCAGAACCTCTGTCAGAAAATACAAATGTACTCTGAGATACTTTTACCTGATAAGGTCACTACAGTTTATAGTGATGGTTGTAAAAGCATGCAGTGTGTAAAAATGACAATAGAATGCATGTGTCACATGCAACACTATGGATGAAAAAAGTATTGTATTTGTTGTGTTTCCATACTTTATCTTCCAAGGTGAAAGCAAAGCAGGAAACAGAACTGGAACTGAAGTCATTTGCTCCTCCTTATGTAAGTACTGAATGGCTTGTTAGGTACCATTTTCAGAAATTTTACTTTGCACGTTTTCTATGTCCTGTCTGATGGATATACTCTGTAATTTCAGGCACTTTATCCTGAATTATATTTATTACCTGGAGTGGAATATTTTGAAGATGTTTATCCATTGCTATCATCACCTCAACAAAAACATCACATTAGTGAAGAAGCTAATAGGTTTGGTCATGGATCAAGATTATCCAGCCTTTCCCAACAGAAACCTGGAAAAGGCAAACCATTTTTAGAAAGTGTACGAAGCAGGCATTGGGTAGAAAATCTGGAAGTGCCCAGTCCTGTGAAATGGGGTGAGAAAGAGCCTGTTCCAGTTTCACACACAAACAATAAGCAAAACAATAACAACAGGATTCCAGAAAAACAGTTTGAAGAAAAAGGTAAGCTTAACCACTGTAGTGAAGGAGGGTGATGAATAAGAAGAAAAATAAATATTATGGTTAACATTTACAGTTAAATAATATCTGTTTCATATTATCATTTATGCAGATCAAAGTGGATCTGATGGATCTCCCTTCACACCAAGCCATTCAAATCCTGCAGACCAGGAGTCTGGAAAGTGTGAACTGGTATTACAGACTTCTGAGCAGAATCATCTCAGCCAAGATCAAGAAGCCTGCAGTGCTCCTAAGTGGAATGACAAAGCCAAAGGAACTGCTCTTACTCATGAAAAACACAGTGATGAACAAGGCCAGGGTCACCAAAGACCCCAAAATCCCATTAAATATCAAAAGGGTACACATGTTTGTTTGGGTTTTTTTTGGTGTTTTTGTTTTGGTTTTGGTTTTTTTTGTTTTGCTAAAGCAAAGTAAAGCTAAGCTTTAAGAAATCTGTAATTAAAGTGTAAGTTGCAATAGCACTATGAGAACAATATTCCATTTTTTAAAATAATGATGATATCTTTCAAAGAGATGTGGTTTTACCTTGTGAGTCCTTCACTATCCCTGTGTGCTGATATACAGAAACACTTTACTATAGTTGATACATTTGCCTAATCACCAGAATTAGTCAGATATAAATTCTAATAACAAGAATACCTTTTTTCCCCCCTTGATTTCTTTCTTCAGTTATTCATGGAGCATTTCCAAATCCTAAAGATAACACCACTTGCTGTATTGATTCACTGAATTTCCAATACAGGTTGGAAAGTCCAGTCATTGACAATCAAACCAGCCTGATTTTTGCAAGTGTAATCTATGTATTTTTGTCATCACTATCCTGTCACAGAACTAGCAAACATGGAAAATAATGAGCACCAAAAAGATACCAAATTAAGAAGAGACAGAACACGAGATGCTGAAATTCTTAAAATAATGGAAGACCAAACTACAGATTATGTCTACAAAAAACAAAGGTTAGCAATAATGCATCTCCTAAAATAATAGATAATATTAATTCACCGATACAAACTTACTTTATGGACTTCAAATAAGTAAAAGAAAAGGAGGGGAAAAAACATTTTGGTCAATGAACTTTCACTTCTTTTTTGATTTTATCTTAGCTTGCAGCAAAACAGAACTAAGAGAACTAGAGTTGGTCTTGGTGAAAAACTGGATAATCAGGTATGTTTTTCAAGGTAACATTCCTAGTAATCTTGAGCAATAAATATAGTCCTCCACCTAGAAACAGTCTAATTTTGTAAGACTGGTGACTCGTTATAAACATGAAAGATTTGAGAATAATTGAGAAAAGTTTAACCATGCACTGCTACTTGGCAGATTTTCTATGAACATCAACTATATTTCTAAACAATTAAAATCTGCAATGACAAATTTTAGTTTAGAAATTGGCAGTTTTTGATTACACAATTAACAAACCAGGTGGCCATTTTAGGGCCTTTAGTTCCTGGTCTTGCATGGGACTGTCAGTGACTTGGGGGTTATGGCCAGGGACAAGAGCCAGTAGCAATAGTCTGTAGTTTTGTCTGTATGTTCTCTGTGATGGAAGTGTCCAGTGCTCTCATTTTGTTTGCTGACATCCAGCTGTTTGTAATTCAGTGGTCATGGGTACTGATAACAGAATAAAAATGCCTACCTGCAGAAGTAAAATTCAGCCCTCTCATTCACTCAGGCCACTTTCAGGGCATGTGTCTCATGTAACTATTCAGGATTATGGTTCTGTACTTATAGTTGTGTCTTTTTCCTCTATAGGCAGATGAAAACAAGAAAAATCATCTTACTTGTCCTAAAGAGTGTATTTCAGCTCCTGGTCCACCTTTTTTGGCACTTACTGTAAATCCAGCTCAAGTTCCTGTAATTCAGGCAGCAAGTGAGTACATGATTCCAAGAAATTGCAAGGAAGTGAACTTTTAATCAAGACTGAAGAGTCAATGAAGACATAAATACCTACACTATACATGCATTAATTCACAGTATTGTTACAAATTTTAATTTATGAATAGAAAATTCCAGGTATTTATGATTGCATGGGCTGTCCTAAAGCTTGGCATGTTCCCAGCACTAGAAAACCCAGCTTGTCAAGTGGATGGAAGGATAAAAGGAGGGAGATCAGATAAAATACTGCAGGCTCAAGTGAGAATGTAGCAAAGAAAATCACAAGTAGTGTTGCTGAGGAGGAGGATAGTGAGAAGTTAAGTGTTAGACCTATTGTTGCAGACTAGTGGAAGTCTGAGATACTGTCCTGCAAGCTGGAGTTTAAGGCAAGATTTCTCTACAGTTTATATTGCAATGTATTTTAAGCAGGAAACAGTCTTTTGGAGGCTTTTTTGGCAAGAGTTTGCAATGTATGGAGTGAATATATTTCTTGATTACATAGTTTTAGTGATACATTGTCTAAACATATAGAAAGATGTTTGTTTGCATGTGTGTGCATGCTGGATTTGCCCCTTTTTCTAAAGCACCAGCCCTTCTGAAAAGTTAGAGTAAAATGAAGTTGTTTCTACTTCTGTTTGTTCTGACAGAGCTTTTGGCATAATTTGTGATGAGTGCATTACAAAAGTCTTGACTGATCCATTGTACTTAGAGTATTCAAGTGCTTGCTAAATATAATTGTGATATCTTTAGAAAACAAAATGGCAGAACAATTACAACAAATGAAGGAAGACAGAAGGCACATGGAAAAAAATAGAGAAGAACTGAGAAAAAAAGCTAAAGGGCTACTGGAACAAAATAAGCTGAGGAGATACCATGGTACACTTTTAATTTATTTTTGAGTTTGGAGTGATTGAGAAATTACACTGAAACCAATGTGAAAATATTTGTCTCCTTGGAGCTTAATTACAGAGAGAGCAGTTTGCTAACCAACAGCTCCAAGAAGACTTATTTTGTGTAATAGCATGCTAGAAAAATTCAAGGTTGCAATATTTCCTTCCCCTCTTTTTTTTTTTTTTTTTGTGCCACGTCTTATAAAGTTAAGGCTGTTCTGGCTTTCATAAACTATTCAAGTTGTGTCTCATGTATGTGCAGTGCTCAGAGAGCTACTGCAGGCTGCTTCTCTCTGAGGCCCAGGGCAGCTTGGCATATTGTAATCCTGCCTTTAGCTTACAAGGTGCTTACAGAGGCTTGTACTGTGTTGATAAGGCTTCAGGTAAATTGCAGCATGATAAGTTTTGTTCCTCCTATCCAATGGTATTCAGCTTATGACATGGAAGTTCCAAGCCTGTTGTGACAAGCTTGACAAACCTTGGTTTTTAACAAGGTCAAATCTCATTGAAATTTCATACAGATTTTCTTAATAAAATTATTTTCAAGTTTATATTTAAAACTGTGTCCCTTAAGTCATATCCCAGTTATACGGAGATGAAATTTAATAATTTTGATATTTTGAGAGCTTTCTGTTTGTGCTTAAATGTAGCTAAGTCATTACAAGTCCCAAATATTTCTTGTAGCTCACTGGAAGTTATTCTTTCAGTTATTCTCTAAGAACATGGCTGCACTGCACCCTGCAGTGTGGGGAATTTGTATTTAAAAAACCCCAAACTTGGGTGTGTGAAGCAGTAACTCTGTAGTAGCATGGAGCTGCAATTCAAGCTAGAGATAAAGCCCTAAATGGCATCTGCATTGCCTTAAATTATATTATCCAGTTAGGTAAAACAAAGGTTATTTCACAAGGATTCAAACAGCTTCTGCAGGTTCTGTAGGAAGCATCTGTACCTCTCAATTTTTTCAATTTTTTTTTAATCAAACCTGTACAGTTTTGTAAGTAAGGGCAGGCAGCAAGCATGTTTCTTTACAAGATATTAAAGAAAGAGCATTTTCTGCAGTAACAGCCAGCTGAGTCTGTATTTAATATCCTCCTGAGACTGCCCTGCTGACAGGCACTCTCAGTTACCTGGCACAGAGTCATCCTCCACCAGCTGAGATCTTCTGGGTAAGTTTCAGTTGTCCTGCTTCTATAAACTATGCCTTGAAAGAAGGGATTCATTAAAGAACTGCAGGTATGCAGTGGCCATGAGACTGCCACAGCACATACAGGGGCATTCATGTGCCCCCTCTTGACAGCACACTGACAACATAGGAGGGATCATAGTGAAGTGTGAAGGTAACTAACTCTTTCCCATAATTTTGAATGTCAAATTGAAGCTGCTCAAAATCTCTGGCCATGAAGAGCATAAATATGGCCTAAATCTACAATGCTTCATTTTCTGGTACAGTAGAGCTGTGGGCTTCAGACTGTGCTGGGCATACCACTCTTCACAGGAGCACTTAGGAGCTGCAGAACAGCCAGGCTGAATAAACTTTGGGTTTGGACACTGTGTTTTATCTCAGTGGACAGATAGAGCCTTTTGTTACAGGTATATATGTGAAAATTCAGTTGCATTTAGAGTGAATGTAATTTTAATGAAGATTTTTTTCACTGAATGTTTATTTTAAAGAAACCTCCTGCCATGTTTCAGAGTGTGCATTGGCCAGCTGCAGCTTGTGAGGTGAGCTGGTCATGACTGTCTTCACTAAATGCTTATTTTAAAGAAATCTCCTGCCATGTTTGAGTGTGCATTGGCCAGCTGCAGCTTGTGAGGTGAGCTGGTCATGACTGTCTTCAGCAGATCTTACAATAAGGTGAACAAGACCAAACACTGTTACTGTTTTCCTGTGCAGTTCGTGAGGCATGGAAGAAGAAGTACTTTGAAACCAAGAAAGCTACAGTTTCACTAGAGGAGACTTTAAACAAACTGCAACAAGATTTAGAGCTTTACCACCAGAAAATGCTCCTGCAATTGGAAGCCAGGGAGAGCCAAAAACGACCAAACAAAACAACAGCCTCCAAGGTATTTGCTTGTATTATTTATTATCTCTTTTTTCACAGTCTGAACTTTTTTGTAGAAAATATAAATGAAAGAAACAGATTTATCACCAACCAATGACTTGTAAACTAGCTTTAGCTCAATGATCTGAGGGACAGAGTTCCTTCAAGCCATTTGTCTCAAAAAGTCTGCAGAAGTGCTTGAGTCTGAGCATTTGTTTCTTTCTGCTTTCTGTTGGTAGCTTTTTGTAACAAAATCCCCTTCTGTTCAGTATGGTTAATGGATTGTTCAGTTCTACTTTGTTTCTATCATCCAAGATTTCATCCAAGGAGGCAATGAATCTTTGGAGCATGCAAAATGTATCTGTAGCTTTTGAAGTTGTTGCACTTCAAGTGTTGTGCAACTGTGAGTTTCACAGGAAGTTCAGAGGGATTAAAAGGAGAAAAGATAAAAGAAAAGGAGGAAACACCCTTTCCAACAGTTGTCTGCTAATTTTCTAAATACATTAATGGAAGCAAGGCTGTTGAGAAAGCAGATGCTAGCCTAGGAAAAATAAATGTCCCTTTCTTGCATCTGAAAGGTACATGTACAGTCTAAGAGTGTATATTATATACAGACATGCATTATTTCAGCTATCTTGAAATATCTACAGAAAAAGAATATGAATGGGCTTGACATTGCATTACTGGCTGTGTTCAGACACTTTATTGGTCCTTTTGAGGGGCATATCAGGGGTGGGATTTTTTTGGTCTCCCTGGCCAGGCACAGAGAGGCCTTACATGAAGGGCAGGCACAAGGCACCGTTCCTACAGCAGCTCTGAAGTGCCAGCACCCCAAAAAGGAGCCAGGATTTACAGAGCAGGCTGAGCACAGGGGCGCTCCCCAGCCCTCCTGAGCCACGTGCAGCCAGGCAGGCATCAGCCACGAGGGAAGGCAGGAGCTGGAAAGAGGTTGTTAGAGGATTGCTTCTGAGTGGTGAAGTAATACCCAGTGAGATGCACTAATGCTGCACTTTGAGGTTTGTTGTTGTTTCACACAGAATTACACAATCATCCGGATTGCTACAGTGCAGCACGAACTCCATCAGCTGAGGAGGAAGCTAGATGATACAAAAGTGAGACTCCTAATAGAAATTAAGGTACTGTGCTTTTTAATTAGAACAGTCAAAATGTGGCAATGTAAAAAAAAAATAGAAATCTCAATTATTAGATCATGTAAATATTTTCTAAACAATATTTGCTTGTTTTATGCTGTTAGTTTTAAGGTGGTAGGTGTTGTGACTTTAGCATTTGAGCTAAATTACTCCAGAACACAGGTTATCAGATGATTTGGAATGTATGGCATTCAAACAACTTAGATACTCAATGTACTATGTAAGCTAAAGTTCACAATCTTGTTCATAAAATTCCCATTTCATTCAAAAGGTAATTGAAGAAATACAGCTGGTGTGGTGAGGCACTGAGCAGTAATAAATAGACCATGGCTAAAGAAAAAAAAATGGTATAAAGAAAAACAAAACAAAAAAATGTTTAAAAAGGCTGTCTAAGCAGATGGCAGACCTCTTCATCTGCTTTATTCCGTATCAGTGTTGCCCATGACTCTTTTTGGAAGGAAGAGGTAGTATAGCCTTCACACTGGACAGCTTTCCAGCTCTGAAAGCTTGAAATAGGAGTGTTCTACATCACAGAGATTGCCCATACTCCTGTTTACTGGGTACTCCAGGGTGGTTGTAATTATTATGACTCCTCCATTATCTAGCAAGGAGTGGAAAGAACAACTAATTTTCCAGTTGTCTCAAAAACATCAGGGCAAAGTACAGAACAAAGTGGTGCTAGAACATGTAAAATTTCAAAGATGAAAGATGTATTCTGTATTCAGCCATCCTGTATAAAATTCAGTCTTAGTTATATAAACCTATATGCATGTCAGCTCCAAAAAAAAGCTTCCTTAAATTGCCATTCCTTAAATGATGGGTTCTTTTGCAGATGAGAAAGCAGGCAGCATCTGATTTACGAGTACTGAAAGCGGAACTGACACAGAAGAAGATTCATTCAGCTTTAATTCTCCAGCCCAGAAAATCAGGAATTTAAGAACACTAACATCTGTGAAGTGTACAGCAGCTCTCTAGTGTATGTAAAAGAGAATTTCAGAGCATTTGTTTGTATGTTCTTGAAGTTACTTTGTAAAAAAACATTAACTGTATAAACGTTGTGGAATTTGTATACTAGGTGACTGAGGTAATGCAGCTCACTTCTTTTTAAATCTCACTTACTGTAAGATTAGTCAGCTACTTAAACATGCAGTTTAAGCTAGTAACATGTCTAAAGCAAAGCTGTTATCTTTAAAGCGCAAATTAGTTAATTGTGTAACATCCCAGTGGTATGCTGATGTTCTCTGATTAACTACATAGCTACTAAGAAATAAACCTAAAATCTGTAACCTCCTGTTCTTATTTTCAGGCTCACACATTCAATTTTTTAGAAATTATTAAAATACAGTTTCTGTAGAACAACAGCAACAGTTATCCTTTATTTGGCTATTTACTGGAGTATGTTTTTGCCATTATAAATATGCCTATCTATAAACTACCAATGTATCATTACTGTATTATTATGAAGCATAAACAAAATCTCAGATAATCTCACTTTATTCCATATCTAGCTGGTTTTGTTCCCTCTCTTACTAGGAAAAGCACATGGACATTAACTGTCTTCTGTAGTTTGAAAGCTTGCCTGAAATCTTTCTCTTGGACTAGTATAAAGATGATCCTGGTACAATTTACACTCTTCAGTGTTCTGCCTTTCCTTAATTCCAAGGTCATGCATACTCTGAGATTAACAATTCCCTGAAAGAGAAATCAGAAACCTCTTCATAGGAATTTTTTTCTAGCTCTGCTGTTTGCCTCTTTCCAAACAAGATGTTATTATATTAAGCAAAAGAATAACATGCTAGGAATTAATCTCAGCTAAAAAGCTATCAAGGCTTTATTTATTACTGGAAATTAAACACTCATGGGAAATAAGTTATGGGATGAGAAAATTATGCAGCTCTCAAAAGCACTACCTTAGAAAAGTCTTGAGTCAAACCAGCCATTATCCAATTTATTTTCTTAAAGACAGGACTTAACCAAGATTTTAGTGCTAAAGGATTAAATAAATTATTAAAACTACAACCACTCTTGCTTAATTCAGGGTTCAAGCTCACATTCTCTATTTAAGAATTGTGTCTTATTTAAGATACAAAAGCAGGCTAATAGCTACTGGAAAATCAGAAGCTAAATTTAAAGTATAGTATTATCAATTCATGATTCTTGACTGCTACAGGAAGGAGAGTTTTATTATTAAGTCAGCTGGGCCTCAGAATTTTGCAGGTCAGAAATTCATAGTAGAAGACTCTCAATTCAGCAAATATTCATCTCACAGTATTTAAGCAGTAATACACATTCTGAAGTACATATGTGTGTAGATATATATATAAAATACAATATAGCAGTTTCTCTTAAGACTTGTAGAGTGGTGTTCTAGTGAAAAGCCTTCTGATTTGTCAAGGGAATTTTTTAGTTTCTGCAAGAGCAGAAACTAATCATCATCACCTGTAATATCAAGCAGACATTTCAGATGAAATCTTCCAGTCCTGTCCTCAGTAGCCATTATGGTAATGGTGCCATACTATGGTAACTCCTTAGCAAGCAAAAAATCCCAACCAATCAGACAAAAAAACCCCAACCCCCCAATCAAACCAAACCAAAATCCCACCAAGCCCAAAACTGACTACATCTACCTAATTAAATAATTTTTTTTAATTAATGGAGTCACTTAAGCAGGGCCTAGTTGCACTTTAATCTGGTTGTGAAACAGTTCTGAGAAGCAGACAAGCAGTGTGGGCTGTAAGCTGTAAAACAAGTAAAGCACAGACAGGGAACACTGTTTACAAGCCTTACCAAAACCAGCATTTTATTCAACAAAAAAATCCTGTAAACACCAGCCAATCTTTACATCACTATGGGTATTTTAAAAAGTTATACAACTTCCTTAGGCAAATGATTTTATGAAAATATGAACTAGAAAGAAAACATAATCTCCTGTTATCTCAGAGGCAATACCCCATAAGAACAAAAACCAGGCTACTGAATGAATCATAGGGTGTGTGGGAAAATAGATATGCAGTTCATTAAATAAGCTTCTGAATTCCAGTTTTCAGGAAGTAAAGTAGTTTGAAATGGAATGAAACATCATCCAAGTCCTCTTCATATTAATGCTTCTTCTTCAAGCTAAGGTCAGAGATTTTCAGCTTTTGAAACTGAGGCATTTATGTGATATATAAGTACAGTGAAACTGGAGTTCATTGAATATTCCTTTCTAACAACTGCTTTGATATAAATCTTAACAGAAACTACTTCATGTTATGTAATTTCTTCAGTCCATAAAAATCTTTTAATCTAGAAGAGTAATGAAGCTTCAAATAATCAACAATCTCTCTCCATTATTCTGATTCTAGAGTGACTGAACTAAAATATTGTTTGGGTTGGCAAGTCAGAAGGCTCAGACTGCACCATGTAACACAGGAATAAGTATTGGCTGCACCTGGCAGCTTTAGCAAAGCATCATGATGAGACTGCCCCTGTAAATCCATCAATTGGTCTTGTTACAGAGACACACTGGGTTCAAGCATTAACTTACAGTAACTGTGAAAAATTACAAAGATGAGCAGTCTTAAAAAAACCTACTGATAAAAAGAACTGTTGTTCCACTCTTGTTATCAGAGACACACTGGGTTCAAGCATTAACTAATTTATGGTAACTGTGAAAAATTACAAAGAGGAGCAGTCTTAAAAAAACCTACTGATAAAAAGAACTGTTGTTCTAAAGCAACAACGGAACTTTCTGAAGCATGAAAATACAGCTTTGCATATAAAATAACAGTATTAATTTGCCTAGTTTTTAAAGTTTTTGTAATCAAAATATATTTGTATAGTCAAAATCTGTGATAGCGTAAGCCAAAATAAAAAATTGCCAATTTTCATCATTCTAAATCACCTAGTTCTTATGGTGTCAGAGCTTGCCACATTGCTTGAGTCTGTTGTTCTGCTGCAGTTTCCCTGGAATAGTCAAGACTATTTCCATTCCACATGCCAATGCCCCTTAAGCCTCGACTCTTCACATATGCTGCCTTTAGAGAGATGCTGTGAGGGTCATCAAACCACACCTGGTGGAATTGACCAACAGAATCCTAGAAAAACATTTAAAAACTAGTGTCAGTGATCACATTTTCTCTTAAACACAGTTAAAAGTACAACTAAAAACTGAGATATACAAGCTACGTACATTTATATAACATTTTACTGATTTATCAATTATTTGTCACACAGGACAATTAAAAATTCTAAGCCAAATATTCTAAGCCAAAAATTATACAATTTTTTAAATTGAAGAATATAAGTTGAATAGTAGAATATAAGTTATAAAACAGTGACACAATTTAACTGAATATATTTAGATGAAAAGACTTAGCTAATTTGTATTTTAATATTTTTTAAAATAGGGCTAAAATTTCAGACACAGTATCTAAGCTAACAGGTGAATTTAGTTAGAGATTGTGGGAGTTTTTAAACAATAAACAGTTTTAGAGGAGATTATAAAGTTTTATCAAGTTTATGCTGCTTTTACCTGGTTATTGCTTACAACATTTTTTTAAAACCAACATGTGAAACTTAAATAACGTTTAAAGAAACAAGACAAAATGGATACACTGTGGTGTTCTTGTAAGCACAATCATTTATGGACTCTTTCACTGTGTCTGTGTAGAAAACAAATGCAGAAGAGAATATGCATGCAAGGCACCAAGCTAGGGAAAATTAAGAGCATCTCAGAATAATTTTTAATTTAAATCATTTGGAGTTATAGGATGTCTTTGTGCCAAAATGTCCTTTTTGATATGATGCAGTATCTCAAGAAGACTGGAAAGTAATAAAGATCTTTATTACTCCTGTAGTCTTCAGGCACTGCACCCTCTCTCAGACTAGGAATTGAAGACACAAATTTTCAGCAACCCTTTACTATACCAAAAACAAACCAAAAAAAACTGTAGAAAACATAAAAGGAAGAATCTAATCCCAATAACTTTATAGCCAAAGATCTATGGTTCATGAATGCTTACTCCATAGCCCAATGGCTTGGAAAAATACTCTTACCTTGTACTCATAAAATGGAGCCTTCTGTAGCTCATCCCACAGCACCCCTGAGAGAGAGCTGTTCACCTGCTTCATGATGGCTGCGTAGGGCACCTGGCGCCCGGCAGCGTCACTGCAAGGGGCCCCACGGAAAGGCACCCTGGCAAGGGAACACACGTGCTCCTGAGAACAAACAGGCAGGCATCAGTGTCAGGGAAGATGTACTGAACTCCAGAATGGAAGTACAGCCAAGAACAATTCACTAAAGGTGTTAGGGCCACAAAAATTCCAAATCTTCCAGCAACTCCAGCAGATACTATTTGTAGAGAAGAGTAAATTAAAACAGCTAAACTTTCTTAATCAATAATCAATAATCAATACAGGATTGGATGGATACCCTTCAGCTTAAAGAGTTGTCTTATCTTTTCCATCTTTAATTGACCCCTACATTTTTCCTAAGTATAATATTTGAGAGCTCATAAACTGCTATGCTGTAGCAGTTGTAGGTTTGCTATGGTTTGTTGCACCTGTCTTTACAGTGGTGTTGAGAAGGCACAAGTGTTGTAGGGCCTTTGGAAATCATCTCTTCTCATACAGATAACATTTATAGCTCCTTAGTCAAACACAGTGCTTGGATGTCACGGGGTTCAGGCTGCCTAAGGAGCTAAAATGCCCTGTCTGGTAACACACCGCTCATCAGTTATCAGCCAAGCAAAAGATTCTGTTTTGTGTCCCAGCTTGATGTTCTTATCCATCAGACTGCAGTATTTCCCACTCCAAAAACAAGATTACCAAAATTGATTTGTATCTTTCCAAAGGAAAAAAATTAACAGTTTGATTGCAAACAAATAATCTTCACCTTACCGTGGACAGGTTTTGGCAGACATAGTCGTAGCCATACCAGGGGACACCCATCACAAGCTTCTTGGGATCAATGCCCATAGCAATGTACTCTTCATATCCTAGTTTGGAGGGAAATAAAAATTAACATGCATTATTTACTTTTCCAACGCTTTTTATTCTTACAACTAATTTAGAGCCAGAGCCACTGCAGAACTTGCATGATCCCCAGACAGAGGCCAAGGTGCAAGCTGTCCTTTGCCTTCCCTGCACTCTCTAGTGAGTGAGAGACTTGCTCTACTGAGATCCCCAGTAACTACTCCAGTTGCTCACACTTAAAACCATCTGCCCTGAGCAGAGGTTCACAAAGATCAGAGAAATGTTTCAGGTTCTCTGCAATCCCAGGCAGACACCACTGCTCTGGCTGCCATTTGTCATTCCAAAAGCGTTCTTTGCACTCATGGGGTTACAGGGACCAACACACAACTGCTGAAGGTCTGCCTGCAGGCTCATAAGGATCATGGACACTGTTTTCAACTACTGACAGCACATATTTGAGCACACTCAAAGCCTCACTGCAACAATGACAAAATAAACCTGTCTAAGAAAAAGCCCTCTTTTTTGTCTACTCCTGTGAGCAAATGGAAATGTTCTGACTCCTGGGGAGCTGCTCTGTCCTCACCAACTAAAGTCTGCAGGTAAGGAGCATTGGCTTTGGCAACACAGTCTGTCCAGATCTGGCTCTGTTCATCATATGACATCACAAATAAGAAGTCACAGGCATCTGCAATCCCAGTGTAGTTGTAGCACCTTTTATCTATGCATGCTGGAGACCAAGCCACATCAAATGTTACCTGAAGGAAAAATGCACAACTTAGTACCAAGTATGGCCCTTAGGAGCCCTTGTTATCTCTTTAAAAAAGGTATGACTTTTAAAGACAGTATTTCCCAAATGGTACAGTTTAACACATCTTGATAATAATGAACTATAGAAGAAGCTGCTCATCTGACAAAACAAACAGAAGATAATAAAGTGAGTACCCCATTAGTGAATATATTGCACCAAAGAAATTAAAGTATAATATGGTGCAAATCTTGAAAACTTTCATGATAGATTTACCAAAACACTATCAAGCTTTTGCCCCAGAAGGTTGTATTTGCCCTACTTTCAACAATTCACTAAGGCACACTAAAAACTGCCAGCTCACACATAGCAGTAACATTGTATGTACAAATCTCAGCAAAGCCCATATCTCATTTAAATCCACACAGGTCAAAAAGAGTGATTCCTACAAGATTATATCACAGCTAACATTCATAATTAAGCATTCACTAGAATATTATATTTAGATCTGCATAAACTTTTTCATATTCATATGCTAAACAGCACTGCCAAAAGTCCTTACATTTCATAAGGTTACATTTGATGTTTGTATAAAGTACATTATTATTACCTGTGATCCAGCTATTTCTCTGTGAAAAGCATCTGTAGTTTCTTTAACAAGCTCTGTCAATGCATAATACTCAGGGGAGGTTTCATTAACTTCTTGCTCTATATCTATGTTAATTCCATCCATATATTGCTTTTTTGCAAGGTCCACCTGTTGGGATATCCATGCTGCTCTTTTAGCAGGATCAACAATTTCCTGAAGAGGTACATCACCTAGACAAGAGGCCTTCAAGAGTTAACATGCATTTGCACCACAGTAATAGTAGGAAGGAAAGCTTTGTCTTTACTTCACCAAGAAATTTAAACACAACATTAAAAATATAAATACTGGTAAAGTACAAAGGAGTTCATTTTTCCCCCAAGCATAATTTTGAGAAACTACCCCACAAAAGATTACCAAGGTTCTTTAAGAGAGTGGTGTTAAAATGAAGTTCCTTTGGTTTTTCTATAATTTTAATCTTCTTCTGCTTAATACTCTTTTAGCCACGGTAAATTACCTTTCTTGAAATCAAAGTACTTTTAGCATTTTATCTGGTCATATTTAGAGAAAAACGACTTTTGTGTTTAACTTTTGCTGTTTTCCACACAGTAGTCCTGGATTCTGCTTTTTCTCAACAGAGCAAAAAGGTATTTACAACATGTAAGCTAATGGACTTTGTCTTCCTAATCAGCATTTGTACCTGACAGAATTCCTGAGTATTCATGTTTTAAAACTCAACCACTTCTTAATACAGAGGGATTCATTTAAGTGCAAAATATTAAAAATTACTTAAGATCCCTTTCCTTACTTTATCTTTTGGGTACTCCACATAAGATCCAGAATACAGACCCAAATAACAGGCTTTTTCTTTCCCCCCTCTTCTTCCATAGCAGTGATGTTCCCTAATAAGAGGGCTTTTATTAAGATGTCACTGGGATGGTTTGGTTACTACTGTGGCATAATCCACCCTGCACACCAGCACATGCAAAATGTCAAGGGTTCATTAAAGCCTTATTAACTAATTATTAATTAATTCTCCTAATGATTGTAGTACTCTACATACAGCTGAATGTAAAATGTCAAGGTAATATAGCCCTGTGTACCTTATCTTCTTATTCACGTATCATAAACATCCACACTTTCCCAGTGTAACCAACCTTTCAGTACTACCCTCGAGCCTTTGGAGTGGGCATAGCACATGAGCTCAGGATCGTACTTCCCGAAAGCTGCCACAGTGGTAATTTTTGACCAGTCGTAGGATTTCCAGGCTTCCTTCCCCACATCAAACACGAATACCTGGAAAAGGGGTAGAAAGCACCCTCGTTAGCCCCGAGCGGCTCTCACACCGGCACATCCCCGGCGCCGCCGGGCAAAGGCTGCAGGGATGGCAGCGAGGGGGCGAGAGCGGGGAGCAGCGACAGCGCGCCCGGGCCGGGCACTGCCCGGGGACCCTGCCTGGGGACACTGCCCGGCCCGGGGACACGGCCCAGGGACCCTGCCCAGCCCGGGCCGAGCGCAGCGGCTCCGCTGCCAGAGCGGCGCCCGGGGCGCGGAACCCCGCCCGGGGACACGGCCCAGGGACCCTGTCCGGCCCGGGGACACTGCCCGGCCCGGGGACCCTGCCTGTCCCGGGGACACGGCCCAGGGACCCTGTCCGGCCCGGGGACACTGCCCGGCCCGGGGACCCTGCCTGTCCCGGGGACACGGCCCAGGGACCCTGTCCGGCCCAGCAGCTGCAGGAGGCCGATGGGCAGCAGCCACCCGCCCCATAACCGCGCCATGGCCGCCGGTGCCGGCCCGGCCGCGCAGCCAAGGCCCCGGGGCGGGCCCGGGCGGAGCCGCGCCCAGCGCAGGGACAAATGAGCTCGGGCGGACGCGTTCACAGAGCAGCTGTTTATTGAAAGGTCGCCCCGGGGACCGGTGCCCGGGCTGTTTCCAGGACCCCAGGAGAAGAGGCAGAGCAGAGCGGCCTCCCGGAGGGGACGGGGCTCATCCCGCCGCCCGAGGCAGCCGGGCCCGCGGGCGGCCGGGCGGAGCCGAGGCGGAGCGGGGCTCAGGCCGGGCACGCCTGCTGCTGGCAGGAGCACGCTGTGTGAGCGGGCACGGAGCTCACGACGTCCTCGGGTTTCTGGTCCAGCCTAGGCTGCCCGTCCAGGCTGAGAGCGGAGTCTGAAGGAGAAAGGAGAGCGGGGTTGGTTGTACATCGGGGCGCTCCTGTGGTAGTGCGGAGCACCTCTCGGCCCTTCCCAGAACCCCAGTCACACACCGTGCTGTGCACAGGGTCACCAGACTCACCGGCTGGAACGCAGTGGAAGCCCACAGACACAGGAACAGTCTGCGTTGCTGAACAGCCTTTCACACAGCGAAGGACTGGCTCCACGGAGAAGCATTTGGCTGCTGTCTTCTCAAAGGAAATTGGCTTCTCACTTTGGACAACTTGGCGCTGCAGCTTACAAGCTACAAAACACGAACTCTCTTAAAGCATGCGCAGAGTTTACATAAATAGCTTTCTGGACTTAATTCATAGAGTTGGCAAACACTAAGACCAATGGATGGACGGTGTCACATAGCTAGATGAAGCTAATCTGGTTGAAGTGAATCAATTTTTTGTCAAAGGCTCAGGGTGTGAGAAAACGAGGCATGTGGCGCACAGTTGCAAGGACGGAAATGGGATCTAGGTGGGATACTGATGTCCAAATCCAAAAGGATACATATGAAATCCTTGGTCAGCTGACACTCAACTTTACTTACACTAAGAAAGCACTTCATTTTGTGGCAGCAGTGGCTCCTAGGCATCTATATATTCTCTTCTGTACTGTGGGCAGCATCACACCTGCCTTGCCGTGGCTGAGTAACTTAGTCCTTAAGACTATGATCCAGCCTCCCCAGGGCAGCTTGATCTATTAAAACATCATAGAAAGGCCAACACATGCCCAGAGGGCTGTGTTCCACACAAAACGTGTAGTACACCCTAATGTAACCAACACATTCATGTTTTTATGTAGGACCTGGATGGCAAGAATGATTAGTCATTCCCAGGCTGGAGTTTTAGATTGTGTTAATCTTCAGGAAATTAATACAAGTTTTCCCCACCTCAAATGCCCTCTAGTTTGATAGTCAGGGCTAGATATGATTTTTAAAATCTGAACTAAAAGCCTGCAAATAACAGAATGAAAATAAAGAATGAAACTATTAAAGATGACATAAAATTACTTTTGTCAACAGTCAAACTTCCTCCTTTTCATAGTAAGTTATCAATGTAGGGAGTTTTAAGTTGAACACACAAACTCCAGGTAACTGCACAATGCAAGATGTTGATATAAAAACCCAACAAAACTAGAACTTGCAGTGAACTACCAAATTTGGGAAAAACAGATTTTTTTTTCCTTGTTTTAGTCTGTGGCCACTAATTATAAAAATAGGAAAAAATGAGATGACTGTACTACAATTAATATAAACCAGCTATTAATATATAGAAGGCAATTATATTAAAATATATTGGAATCTTAGTACCTCCAGTACAGGGGTCTTCCCCTTTAGTCTGTGGCCACTAATTACAAAAATAGGAAAAAATGAGATGACTGTATTCATGTGATTGATTATTTAGTTGAAGGCAATTATATTAAAATATGTTGGAATCTTAGTACCTCCAGTACAGGGGTCTTCTGAGATGATCCAAGAGTGACCAAAGCTCACAGCATCTTTAGCTAAATATCCACTGGGTGTTTGATATTCTCTTTCTATCTCAGCGTCATATTTTCCACAAATGCCACATGTTTTTCCAGCCATCCAGAAAGCAACTTGAATCTTTGTGGAAATACAGAAAAGTTGCATGTAAATGCTTTTCTTCTAAAACTAAACCCACTGAAAGTAACTTAAAAATTACCTCAATTCTATGCCCGTCATAGTATATTTTATCTATGCCATAATCTGGGGCTTTTAGTGTCAGTCTTTTCTTTTCACTGTTGATCAGCATGCTTGTAGCTGCAACAGAAAAGAAAAATGTGATCTTTTCTAAAATGAAGTTGTTTTAGGGTCCACCCTGAACCATTTGTTAAGTTCTTGGGTACATAAATGCACACTCTAAGAATCTCAAGAGAGATGGTGGGAAGTAAAAAGACTGCTGCTTCCTGCCCTGGGAAAAGCTGAAGCCACTCACAGGGGTGGCTGTGACAGGAGTAATCTAAATTCATGTTCTGTGGGTCTCTGGAATCAGCAAAACATACCACAACCCTGCATTTTTAGTCTGTGCAAAGATGCACAGGATCAGCATCTCTTTCTTTGCTCATCTTTCTTGCCACCCACAAGAAAGTCTTGCATGGAAGTACGTTAAAATCTCCCAACTCTTTCTCAAATTAGGATAATCTTTTATCTTGTGAGGTGTCTGCAGGATCATGTCCTCTCCTTCTTCAAAATATCAGGAAAGATTAAACAAATCTAAAGATGAGTCTCTTACCATATTTAGATGAGTATGGAAGATCATCTGGGGGTGGGGCACCATTAATCTTCAACTGGATGAATCCATCAGAAACATACATGTCAATCTCACTTTAAATAAAGGAAATCAGTGTAAACAAATGCTTCTCCTTTGCCCTACTCAGCTTATAATTTCCTGTTCTGGCAGAAGCATCACTGCAGGATGCTCATATCATCCTGGCATGAATCACCTTCTGCCCTTGAGGGGAAGGCTGAGGGGCCCAGGACAGTGTGCCAGCAGGATGCTCCCAGTGCACCTTCCCCTGGCTGCACTCTGGGCGGCTGCTCGTGGCCACAGCTCAGGCAGGAAGACACCAGGCTACAGGAGCCTTGCTGCAGAACAACCTAATTGCTATTACCTTCACGTAAATTGAACGTGCTTTACACTTCAAAGGAAGGTTGGGTTCCCTAGGGCAGTTCTCTTACAGCCTGAACAGTCTGTGTATTGTAGTATTTTCTTCAGAGCAGTGTTTGCTCTAATAGAAGAAATATGAAACTCAAGCCGATCAAAAGCACATCCATACAATTGTACGAAACAATCAGGAATGATTCAGTGATGAGAGATGTCTTTATCACAAAAGATCCAGTCTATAAAACAAGCATCCTTGTGTTCTTCCACAAAACAGGTGCAGGGAATACTAGATTCCCTCTGTTTCTCTAACACTATGGCACAGTTAGGCACATGTTTTTCAGAAATAAATAATTACTTGTAATGAGACCTTACAGATCAAAGTCTATTTATGTGCTTTGAGCACTCACTACAATGATTTTAGTATGCATAATCCCATACAATTTTGGGGTGATTGCTCCAGGCTGAAACAAAATGTGTCTTAAATTTCAAATAGATTAGAACATTATGTCCTAAGAGAGTGCCTCTAATCTGGGATAAGTAATTAGCTATGTCCACTTCTCAACAACCCTGCTGTAATGAGTGTGGATTCTAATTTGTTATAATTATTAGCCTAGTGTAGAAGGCCAGACTAATGATTACAATAGCCCCTTCTGGATTTGTAGTTTATGTGTCTGCCTAATCACTAAGTACTGAAATGAGATGGTTAAATTCTAACAAATTAATGAAGAATTTGGGGCAGTAAAGTCTTGAGGTTACTGTGAACCTCAGATATGTTTCAGAAGCACTTTTAAAAGACAAAGTCCCAAACCTCAGTGACACTCCTAGATATCTTTTCATTGACATCAGTACTTTCTGCATGAGTCTAATATTAGTGCCAGTCTGCCCTACCAATTTGATCTTCATTTATAGCATTTTCAGCTTGGCATCTATTTTTTATGAAGTTTTCAATTACTTACTGGTCAGCGACTTTGACGTTTATTGTTGTAAGGTCAGCAGACTCTTCAAGCCTTTTCACCGTCACCAGGAATTTAAGCTCTGGACTACAGTCCTGCAGCAAGACATGGTAGCACTTTGCAGGCATTGAATAGTTAAATTCAACACCATTGAAGGTTGTGATCTTATTTTGGAAAACTGTACAACGACCTGAAAAAAAAAAACCCGGTAAAAAGTAAGCATTTGGTAATTTATATGACAGATATTTTATTTTAGTTTAATAATTAAAAGAAAAAAAATCTTCTGGTTTTGCATGTTTCGATGTAGAAATGAATTAATTCTGTCAGACGAAATTTTAGATTTGTAGTAATTTGAAAGTAAAACTTTGCCAGTCCCCAGGCAGCAGGACAACATCCCCGTGATCCAGGCATTGTGTGAGATGAATTGTGCTCACAGATGGTGCTGGTCCACCTCTCAGTTTGTGGAATTTTGGCTTTTCTAACTTTGTTGTAGTCAAAAGAATTTCACAAGGGTTGATAACAGTTCGCATACCATTACCACTAGAGCAAGTTTACTGAAATGCAGATACTTTTATGGAGTCATAACCAGGATTAGAAATAGTTAGAAGCTGGGAAGGAAAGAATACCACATTACACTTTTCTCTTTTTCATTGTAATGGCATTTTGTTGGA